GCCTGGGCAGCCCGTCGAGCGCGGCGGTTCTGCTCGGGAGCAAAGGGGCTCGTTCGGGAGCGACAGCGCGGAGCTGGTGCCCTGGAGCTGGAACCTGCCGGCTCCCGCGCTGCTGCTTCGGGCCCCCAGCTCCCCCGCTGGCACGTCCAGCCCGTGCCCATGCCCTGGGCCTGGCCCTGCGAGCCGGCCGAGACCCTCTGCAGGGGCTGCTGAATCCTGCATCCTGCTGACCTCCCCCTGCGCCCGGCGGGCGCTGCTGCACATGGCTTAGCCCGAGCCGCGCAGCGGGGCTCCGTGCGCTGCGTCTGCCCCTCGGGGTTGCGCTCAGTTAGTTATTGGGGTGTGGGATCCATGGAGCCGCACCAAGGCTGTCCTGGGTAGGAAGAGTCAGACGCTACATTTGCTGCCCTCAGTTGTGTCTGTTGCCTGTACATAAATTGTACTGCAGTAGGTTTATTCCTAAGCACTCCTTTTATTCCATGGTCTTGAAATAGTAGGCCTAAATAACAGGCTGTGAATGGCATTATTTGAAATACCTGCCATAAATCTTCCCACACCGGCTTCTTTCCATGGGGGCTGCTGGGCGGGCGCAGCCTGGCCGAGGTGCTCGGGAGCCCGCGGAGATTCGGGACTGCCCTGCTGAGCGGCGGCGATCCCCGCTGCCCTGCTGGTAACGAGCAGTTCATGTTAATTACAGCAGCAGCACAGTATACACAAAGTATACACAGCAAACAGAGAGTAACAAGAGCCGGGCTCTCCCTAAATCCTGTCTGCTTAAACTCAGACCCAGGGCAGAAACGTCGGGCGAAGGCCCCAGTCCAGTCCTGGGTGTGAGAAGGGTGCCAAGGTCTGAAGCATTTGCAGTTCTCCGAGGAGGACGTGGAGGGTGATCCTGGTCCCAGCAGAGCTGCTCTGTGCGGGATCCGGCCGTTTGCTCCTTCGCTGCCGCGCACGGTGCAGGTTTGACCGGGTAAACAGATGGGAGCTGTTGGAGCAGCTTGGATTTGCTTTGAGCTGCCCTAGCAGTTAACAGACTGGTCATGCCAACCTGCTGGCAACGGATGTCCGGAAGGGACAGGCTTATTTCAGAAACTGCAGTAAAACGTGGAGAAAAAGCAGCCTTCCCGGGCAAGCGAGGTCGCTGTAAATGTATTCAGTAGCGAGCAGCCCTGCTGCAGCGCACGGCGTCCTGCTCCCGAGCGCTCCGGCGCAACGGGCCGGGCTGCGCGCGTGGCTGCAGCGGGGCCTGCGCGCTCGCTGCCGCGTCGGGGACTCCGGCAGCGCCGTCGGGGACATCTCCGTTCCGCTGGCAAAACTCCTGCAGGAAGGGACCGCTGGCTCCGAGGACCCTGCCCGTCCTGCAGCGACACCGTCCTCAGCACTCCAGGGACCCATTTACCCACACGCGTGTCCCTGCACCTTGCAGCCCTGCTCAGTTTTCGGAGGGGAGTGAATCCCATGGAGTGTCCAGGGAAAAGCAGATTTTTTACTGCCAGACTTCTCAGTCGCTTGCTGGCACAATCTTAAGTCAAAGTAACTGAGTGGATTTTAATTCAGCCATGTTGCTGTTTTGGTGCAGGGCCCTCTGCCTGTGGACTCAGTCAATGTGGTAAGAAACAAACCTGTGGAAACTTGCCTGGGCTTTAATTAAAAGAAGCAGTAGATGACTTGCTTTCTGAAGTAAGAGCTCTCACGGAGAGTTCTGCACAGAATTAAAATCAGTTGTGAATTAAAGTCCGTTTCATTATATTGTTTCCTGGCTGGCGATTGCAGCAGACGCTGTCGGGTTTGAGCCCGTGGCGGTTCCGGGTTCTCCCCCCGTTGCTCGCGGGGCAGTTTCTTGCTGTTAGCACGTGTGTGTGTGGAGGCCAGGCTGAGGGATGCGGGACACGCCGCCCCGCGGCGCCGCTCGCGTGTGCGGTGTCGGCCGCCCGCGGCGACGGCGGGCGGGTTAAGGGCGGTAACAGCCACCAGCCCGGCCAGCGGAGCAGCGTGTCCAGAGGGACCGGCCGCGCTCCCTGCCCCGGGGCCTCCCGCCCCGCGGGGCGCAGGAATGGACCCCTCTCGGGGCAGGTGGCCCGTGGCCAGGCCTGGGGTGGCCCCGTGGCCAGGCCTGGGGCGGCCCTTGGGCTCCTCGGAGCTGCAGGGCTCCCGTAGCCGAAGGCAGCAAACAGTGTCACCAACGGGCAGCTCCTCGGAAGGGGCCTTTGTCCAAAGCATGTTATTAATATTGGAAAACACAACTTGTGTTTTTAAATAATGAACATTGGAACACATTTGTCTCCCTCCGCTGCAGCTAATTAACTTGTTTGCAGCCGAGGCCGGGACACAGCTGTGGCGCTTGTCTCCATGGCACGGCCGCGTCAGGCGGCTGCGACTGTACCGGGACGTGAGGGGGTTGCAGATCGCGGCTGCCGGCTGCAG